CGACCCAGTGGTTGATCTGATAACTTCTGAAGAGAAGGCTGCCGCACTTCGTCAGCTCCCATAATCTCGTCAGCCCTCACGGAGCTGAGGTTGCTGAAAACGCAACCAACCTCCATCAGATTCTCAATATTTTTCCGAGGAATCCGAGATTACGGCTGACGAACTGTTGGCCTATATCAACTCATCTAAAAACATGAAGGCTCCAGGTTTCGACAACATCCTGAATCTGCAACTCAAACACTTGAGTTCCAGATTCTCCAACCATCTGGCACTGATTTTTAATCTGTACCTCCGACTTGGCTACTTCCGCTCGTGCTAGAAGTCAGCTAAAGTCATACCCATCCGGAAACCTGGGAAGGATCCGTCCTCTCCATCAAGTTATCGACCAATCAGCCTTCTCTCAGGGTTATCTAAACTGTTCGAAAGAGCAGTCTACCACCGGCTCCTAACATCTGCCGAAGAAAACAACTTGTTACTCGAGGAACAGTTTGGTTTTCGGAAAGCTCGTTCGACCGTCCACCAGCTGACTCGAGTAACAAACATTCTCAGACGGACCAAGTCTGTTTCGAAAACATCTGCCATGGCGTTATTGGACGTTGAAAAAGCGTGCGACAATGTCTGGCATGATGGCCTGGTGTTCAAATTGCAGCAGTACGGTCAACAATCAATACGAAACTAACGATTTTAAATTGGCTCACCACTTTAGTAGCCTATTGGTCCCAAGCAAACGATTAACGTACCCTATTCTAGTTGAAATTCTATTACTACACTATGTTTGTTTTGATTCGCTATGAAAGTTTGACAGATAACATCAGGGGTGTTTGGATTCATGCAGAACATGCAGGGGTGAGTGAAATAGCTTGGGACTGCTTGGGACCGTTATTCTGGTACTGAGTGAGCCAAAAATAATAATGATTTTCTTCGGGACCAGTGGTCTTAGAGTTACCTCTATGGTACGGTCTTCCAATCTTCCTAGTGAAGATAATTGATCATTTTGTCAAGCTTCTGCATTCATGTTTCATCAGATGTCACAGCTGTTGTTTGCGGTGACATCTATCGGAAACTAGACATAATTTGTTTTCCTATAATTGTTCACAGAGGAAACTGCAGTGCAAAACATGTCTGGTACCTCTATATATGCATTTAAATTAACATCCGAAGTCCCTCCTTTTTTACACATTCTGCACACAAAATAGCTCACCCCTCACAGAATTTCCCGCCGAATTTTATGTATGGGGCGGGGCATAAAGTATCTTTTGCGCAGAATATGTAAAAAAGGAGGAACTTCAAATGTACCAGACATGTTTTGTAGTGTCAGGTACTCTATTTTGTAATCTGTGAAAGGGAAATCACAAATAGAGTGTCAACAAAATACATGGCATGTTGAGAGATTGAGCTCGTGAGAGAGAATTTCTCTCTCAAATTTGAATTTTTTTGGCTCTTTGGGGACTGGTAGTAAAGCAGGTAAAATTGTATGGGGAAAAATAATTTTTATTTAATTGTAGCTTGTTTAACAATAATTTCCGGGAAAAAAACTGAACGACAAAGTCCCTGATTAATTTCTTTAGGTTGTCGTTCACTTTTTTTCACCTGAATATGCACCGAAAGCGAATTATTCCCACTTCTCTCAATTTCTATATGGGGATTTTTATCACTTCCTACCAGCGGTACAGCGCCATCTCTGTGGAAAATGGTCGAACAAAATGATTAATTAACAACTACCAATCGAACAGGACGTCCCGAGTCTCTCTGAATGGCATCACATGCTTTCAACATCGGTGCTGTGGTTCCACAAGGAAGCATCCTTAGCCCCATTCTATTTAACCTGTTCACCTCCGATATGCCGGCTTTCCCTGATGATGGATCGTTGACTCTGTTCGCAGATGACACATCCATCGTTTACAAGGATACGGTCATCGGAGCTCTGACTGTCAGCAACAGCGCATGCACATACCCTCGCAGTCAAATTGATCCTATCTTCACCATTTACTACCAAAACGTAAGAGGTTTACGAACGAAGGCAACCGAGCTCCGCTTAATGATTTCAACATGCGATGATGCGACTACGACGTTCTGGTTCTCACCGAAACCTGGCTTCAGGCGGACATTCAGGACTGTGAGCTATCGTCAGATTATCATTTCTTCCGCTGCGACCGTAATCGAGCTACCAGTCAGCTTTCCAGAGGCGGCGGTGTACTTATTGCGATAAAATCCAAGCATTCATGCACATCAGTTTCGCTCGAGAATTGCGACCGTCTGGAGCAAGTGGATGTGCGCATCACTCTGCAGCACCGCTCGCTATTCATCACCGGAATCTATCTCCGTCCTCTCTCCAGCCCGGATTTATACACGTCTCACACTACTGCACAACAGACTATCTTTGAGAGATCTTTGAACGCCGATATCACCTTGGCAATGGGCGACTACAACCTTCCGTTTCTGAGTTGGACTTTCGACGAGGACGTGAACGGTTACTTACCATCAAACGCGTCCACTGAACAGGAACTGGCTCTCACGGAACCGATGCTCGCTAGCGGGCTAATCCAAGTCTAATTTGAATGGAAGACTGCTTGACTTAGCCTTCATCAGTGATCCGGATAACGTTAACCTTCTTGGGCCTCCGGTCCCTCTACTGGATATCGATCATCATCATAAGCCATTCATCTTACGACTTGATGCCGACTGAAATCCGCCCATGATATCGGACTGTGATTCGTATCCACCTGAATTGGATTTCAGGCACTGCGATTTCGGCTCGTTGAATAATGAACTGTCCACTATCAATTGGCAACAGACTCTGGATGGTGTTTCTGTCAACGCTATTGCTGACCAATTCTACGACAATCTGTATGAAACACTCTATGCGCGAGTTCCTCTCCGGAGGCGTGTTACGAGGTTAACCTCAGTGCAACCCTGGTGGAGCCCTGAGCTACGTAATTTGCGGAACGTATTGCGTAAGTCGCGCAAATGCTATTTCAGTACCAGAACCAACGAGAGCAAAAATAGTCTCCGATTAATGGAAACGAGATACAATAGATTGTTGAAGTCTAGCTATGGGGAGTACGTCCAGCGAACACAAGCGAATCTGAAGCAGCAGCCATCGGCGTTTTGGGAGTTCGTGAAACCACAACGATCTGGTAATCGTATTCCGGACATAGTTGAGTTTAACGGGATCGCTGCTAGCTCCCCTGTCGATGTTGCTAACTTGTTTGCGAGCTTCTTCCAATCAGTTTACAACACAAATTCACCACCTCTAAATCCTTCAAGTTTCGATCGCATCCACATCCATGCTGTTTGTCCATTTCGTCAACGATCTGTGCCTTCAGATTTCTTCATTTAAGCAAATGTTCGCCGGCGACCTGAAGATGTTCAGAGTCATCGCGACCGTACTCGACTGCCTCGCCCTGCAAAATGACATAAATGGGCTACTCCTATGGTGCCAAGAAAATGGTATGAGTATCAACATAGGAAAATGCAAGGTGATATCGTTTTCCCGTCGGGGCACTACCGTCAACCACCAATACACAATTGGATCCAGGTCATTAGAGCGTGTTACCTCAATTTGTGATCTTGGTGTTACTATTGACTCGAAGTTAAGATTCAACGAACATGTTGCACTTGTCACGGCTAAAGCTTCTGCGGTTCTTGGATGCATTCGACGCTATACGTGGCAGTTTACAGACATTTTTGCACAAAAAACATTGTTCTGTACTTTGGTACGTAGCATCCTGGAATACGCGGCCTCTGTCTGGACACCTTATCACGCATCGCTGATCATCAGAGTCGAAAGAATTCAGAAGGTTTTCTTTCGATTCGCGCTGCGCAACCTTCCATGGAACGACCCGCTAAATCTGCCTGACTACACTGCACGCTGTATGATGTATGCGGCTTCAAGAGAAAGCTGTGTAGTGATTATTGGATAACCGCGAAAAGGTTGAATAAGCGCCTTTCAAGTTCACATACGACTAAACAGCAGAATAACAGCTGTATAGAAGCTGTCAACACCGCAGGGCAGCAAACCCAACACAACGGTGTGCGTAGCTGCGGTTGGCGTACCTAATGTTATTGCCGTTTCGTACCGTTGTCAGAAGTGAAGAAAGGGAAGAGAAAAACAAAACCAAAACAAACCAAACACAATTTATAATGGACATTGTTAGCAGATAGAAATTGTTAGCAGATAAAGTGAAATTATAGAGGAATTCAAGGAATATTTCGGATCATAAAGTTCGTCTATACTGTGCATCTGGTTCCCCTTCGGCGTCCCGAACATAGAAGGAAATTATAATTTGGAACAGGCGTATAGGAAAGCTAGCGACGATTTGAACGGGAGAATTCGTGGTAAATAGAAGGAAGAGCTAGAACGAGGAAACGGTTGTGTAGCGCACAAAAGTATAATTAGACCACTTCTTTTTGAGCTGCCACAAAAAAAGAGGCTGCTACAAAAATTTTGGTTTGGTATCCGAACATTCTCAAAAAGAAGTGTACGAAAATCGGATAAACCTCAAAGCGCTATGGCCAATTCTGCTCCACCCGTTCTGAACCTCACGGAGACTCCTTGTGCGTCGTGCGATGAAGTTTCGACCGAAAATGAGGAGATGATCGGTTGTGATGGTTGCCAACGTTGGTACCATATCCGTTGCGTCGGGATTACTGATGCGAAGAAGGAAGGTACGTGGTACTGTACCGAAGAACCATGTCAACGGATCAAGAAGAAGAAGAGTCGCAGCAAGAAAAATAACGATGAATCGGATCGCTCCAGTGTCAAATCCGACCGTGCGCTCGCTCTGGAGCATAAATTGAATGCGATGGAGGAGAAACAAAAACGGATGGAGCAAGAGCTGGAGATGGAGATCAAGATTAAAAAGAAAGAGATGGAGTTCAAGCGATCCATTGAGATGAAGCGGATGCTGTTAGAGAAGCAGTTACGCCAAGAGGAAGAAGAAGAAGAAAAGCTGTTCCAGGAGGAGATATTGAAGCAGCGAAAAGAGTAGTTGAACCGGATGAAAGCTAGGCAGCAGTCGTTCGCGGACGAAATGAAGGAACTGGATGAAGCTATGTCGGAGACGAAGAACACCGAAAAGAAGAGAGCAACAAAGGACATCGATGCCGGCGAAGGTACTTCAGGAGTAAAGCCAAAACTGCGCCATTCGAAGATCGGAAAATTGACGGAGCAGAATTTGAAGAAGTTGAGAGCTGCTCAATACGAAAATTCGGATGAAGACGATGAAGATGAGACAGCTGATGAAATGGAGGATGATCAAACCGAATCCGGCGAAGAATCCGATGGTGTTTCGGAGAAAAGTGTAGCTACGAAGAACAGCAAGTCAACGAAAAAGTCCGGTAGATTGAGCCAACACGGGCTGGGGCAGGCACGATCCGGGCCGACCAGAATTCAACTGGCAGCGAGAAGTGGCGTAAGTAAAAGACTACCCACATTCTCTGGAAAGCCGGAAGAATTGCCGTTGTTCTACGGAATGTACCAAGCATCGAATGAAGCCTGCGGTTACTCGGACATTGAAAACCTGGTGCGGCTGCAAGAATGCCTGAAGGGTCCGGCTCTGGAGATGGTGCGTGGACAACTTCTTCTGCCGAAATCGGTTCCGAAGGTTATTGGAAAACTTCGCCAGTTATACGGCCGCCCGGAACAGCTACTGCAGAGCCATTTGGAGAAGGTCCATAAGCTGGAACCACCGAAAGTGGGTAAGCTGGCCAGTTTCATTCCGTTCGGCACGGCAGTCGAGCAGCTGTGTGAACACTTGGAGGCGGCGGAACTCAAACAGCACCTGATAAATCCGCTTCTAATTCAAGATCTGGTTGAAAAGCTCCCAGATAACGACAAGCGCGAGTGGGTGCGCTTCAAGCGCGGGAAAAAGAAAGTAACCCTAAGGACCTTCACCGATTTCCTCTCCGAAATAGTCTCGGAGGCCTGCGAAGCGAACGTCAGCATGGACTACAAGTCAACCGGAAGGTTTAGCAGCGACAACCGTTCGGGGAATGCCCAAAGCAAAGCGAAGGAGAAGGGTGCGGTGTTCAACCACAGCGAAGCTGATAATCGTCAATCCGGCGTTGGAGAACGAAGGAATCTAAAGCCGTGCAGGGCGTGTCAGCGTACAGACCATCGGTTGCGGTACTGCCAAGATTTCAAGAACCTGTCGTACGCGGACCGGATGAAGGTTGTGGATCGCTGGAAGCTGTGCCACGTGTGTCTGAACGAACACGGTTCGGCGCAGTGTAAGTTCAAGCTGCGATGCAACGTTGGAGGATGCAGACAAGCTCACAATTATCTTCTGCATCCGATCGATGGTGCAATTGGTACCACAGCGCACATTCGGACAAACAACGTCACTTTGTTCCGAATGATACCGATTAGTCTCCACTGCGGAGAAATATCCATCACTGTGTTGGGCTTTCCTGGATGAAGGTGCATCGGTGACTCTGGTGGAAAGGAACTTGGCGGATCGCTTGGGAGCAGTCGGAGTCCACGAGAAACTCACCATAAAGTGGACGGCCGACATTGCTAGAGTGGAGAAGGAGTCAAAGCGGATGAATTTGTGGGTCTCGGCTGTTGATGCGGATGAAAAACTTCTTCTGAAGACGGTCCGCACTGTCGAAAAGCTGATGTTGCCTACACAAGCTTTGGACGCAAAGGGGCTTTTGCGGCAGTATAAGCATATGCGAGGATTGCCCATCTCCTCGTATGACGGACGGCCGGAAATACTCATCGGGTTGAACAACATCCACTCGTTCGCCCCGATTGAAGCAAAGCTCGGTGCAGTTATTGATCCGATAGCCGTGCGGTGCAAGCTCGGATGGACGGTCTATGGACCGAAGCAAGCGAACGCTGTCGAAGCGAGCAGCGAATATCTTGGAATCCACCAGGAAGTGACAAACGAAGACCTTCATAAGCTGCTGAAGGCACACTACGCACTGGAAGAATCGGTCGTTGGCGTACCGCGGGAGTCTGCTGAGGACGAGAGAGCTCGCGAGATCCTCGAGAAGACCACGAGACGAATCGGTGACCGCTTCGAGACCGGGCTACTGTGGAAGACGGACGATCCAAGGTTCCCGGATAGCTACCCGATGGCGTTGCGAAGGCTGAAGCAGTTGGAGAAGAAGCTAGAGAAGAATCCGGAACTTCACGTGAACGTTTGTAAGCAGATCGATGAGTATCAGGAGAAGGGGTATGCGCACCTTGCTACTCCGGAGGAGCTCGTTGGAACGGAACCCGATAAGGTATGGTACCTTCCACTAAACGTGGTACTGAACCCCAAAAAACCAGGTAAGGTGCGCCTCGTGTGGGATGCTGCGGCAACGGTGCAAGGTATCTCCCTGAATTCACAGCTGTTAAAAGGGCCTGACATGCTTGTGCCGCTAGTGACTGTGGTTGTTGGGTTTTGGGAATACAGAATTGCTGTAGGTGGCGATCTGCGTGAAATGTATCACCAGATGAAGATCATCGCTCGGGATCGGCAAGTACAACGTTTCCTCTTCCGGAAAGATTCCAAGGGACCTCCACGCGTGTTCGTCATGGACGTTACCACGTTTGGATCGACGAGCTCTCCCTGTTCGGCCCAATATGTGAAGAACCTCAACGCTCAAGAGTACACTGGGCAATATCCGGAGGCAGCAGCGGCGGTTATCAACCGTCATTACGTCGACGACTACTTTGATAGCGTCGACACCGTAGACGAGGCGATCGAGCGAACGGAGCAAGTCAGGTTCATTCACCAGAAGGGAGGCTTCGAGATTAGGAACTGGGTTTCGAATTCGCCGGAAGTTCTCCAGAGCCTCGGTGAGCAGAAACCGGTTTCAGCCGTCCACATCACCGAAGACAAAGTAACGTCACACGAACGCGTGCTAGGTATGATCTGGGATCCGGATCGTGATGAATTATCTTTCTCCACCCAACATCGCCAAGAGCATCTTCCGTACCTATGCGGAGACAAACGGCCAACGAAACGTGCGGTGTTAAGCTTCGTCATGGGCTTCTTCGATCCGCTTGGTTTACTTTCTCCGTTCACGATCCACGGAAAGATCATCGTGCAGCACTTATGGCGTAGTGGCTGCGATTGGGACGACGCGATTAGCGACGATTGCTGGGAAATGTGGAAGCGCTGGATTGCTGTACTGCCGGAAGTCGAGAACATTAGGATTCCACGTTGCTATCTTGGAGATTCCTTGTCGTCTGCGGTTGAGTCAATTGAAATTCACATCTTCACGGATGCCAGCGAACACGCATACGGCTGTGTTGCGTTTCTGCGAGTAGTCATCGACGGAGCTGTGCGGTGTATTCTAGCTATGTCTCGATCGAAAGTGGCACCGTTGAAGCGCCAGTCAATCCCGCGACTGGAGTTGATGGTGGCTGTACTTGGAGCGCGGATGAGTCAAACGATTATCGCTACGCATTCACTGAAAATCGATCGATGCATACTGTGGACAGATTCACGAACGGTTTGGAGTTGGATCCAGTCTGACCAACATAAATACAAACAGTTTGTTGCGTTCAGGATCGGAGAAATACTGGAGTTGACACGAGCGACGGATTGGCGATGGGTTCCAACGAAGCAGAATATGGCGGACGTCCTGACGAAATGGCATCGAGGTAACGATCTGGAAAGCGATGGGGTATGGTTCACGGGTGCACCGTTCCTGCACCAGCCCAAAGACCAGTGGCCGACTATGGAGGTGACGATCGAAGAGACGTACGAGGAAGCCAGGGGCCACGTGACATTCCATGGCGTGGTTGAAGTAGACCGATGCTCGAGATGGACAACGCTGCAAAGGGTGATGGCGTGTGCGGTCAGGTTCATCGACAATTGCAAACGCAAGGTAGCAGGGCTGCCGATAGTCACCTTGAAGGCAACAGATAACCAGCAACATCAAATCCTGGTACCGATGCAATCGATGCAACGTCCGCTCGAGAGAGATGAGTTTCGAACTGCGCAGATCATCCTGTGGAAGCAAGCACAGTTCGAAGGATTCCCAGATGAGATGAGCATCCTCACCAAGAATCTGGAACAACAACCAGATGTAGTAATGGAAACGGTGAAGAAGAGCAGTTGCCTGTACAAATTGACTCCGATTCTGGACAAAGAAGGTGTGCTGCGGTTGGGTGGTAGAATGGATATGTCCGTCGACATGCCTTTCGACAAAAGGTGTCCAATAATTCTGCCAAGAAAGCACGCGACGACGGAGAAGCTGATCCAGTTCTACCACGAGAAGTATGGACACGCCAATCGAGAGACGGTGATGAACGAGTTTCGCCAAAGGTTCTGGATTCCGAACACCCGAGCTGCAATCCGTCAAGTGATGAGCAATTGCGTGTGGTGTAAAGTCCATCGCTGTCAGCCGCATGTTCCTATGATGGCACCGCTTCCGATACAGCGAGTCACACCCTATCTGCGACCGTTCAACTCGGTGGGTATCGACTATCTAGGTCCGATAGAAGTGACTTTGGGACGAAGAAAGGAGAAACGATGGGTCGCGGTGTTCACTTGTTTGGCTGTACGAGCGGTACACCTAGAAGTGGTGCGTAGTCTCTCAACGCAATCCTGCTTGATGGCCCTTCGAAGGTTCAGCTGTAAGCGAGGCGTACAACAGGAAATTTTTTCGGACAACGCGACGTGTTTTGTAGGTGCCGATAACGAGTTGAAGAAGATCAACAGCGACTGTGCGACCAGCATAACGAACGATAATACCACGTGGCACTTCAATCCACCGGCTGCACCGCACATGGGCGGCATCTGGGAGCGGATGGTGAGGTCGGTAAAGGAGGCGATGAAGGCGCTGGACGATGGGCGAACATTGTCCGACGAGGTTCTGCACACAGCACTAGCTGAAGCAGAGGACATGATTAACGCCCGGCCGCTAACGTACATACCGCAGGAATCAGCTGAGGAAGAAGTGATTACCCCGAACCATTTCCTTCGTGGGTCGGTGACAAGTGCGGATTTGGTGGTCCAGCCAGTGGACATTGCGGAGGCTCTACGAGATACTTACAAGCGTTCTCAATACCTGGCGAACCGAATGTGGGAAAGATGGTGCAAGGAATACTTGCCGACAATCAACAGACGGACGAAGTGGTTCGAGGAGCAGAAGCCGCTACAGGTGAACGACCTGGTCTTCATAGTGGATGGAAAAACCCGGAAAAGCTGGATCCGAGGGATCGTGGAAGAGATACTCCGAGGACCAGACGGAAGAGTGAGGCAAGCGATAGTGCGGACGGCTAGAGGAGTCTACCGGCGTGCTGTAGCGAACTTAGCGGTGATGGAGGTCTGAAAGTAAATCCGGGATTTCCGGAGGAACTACCAGATGTTACGGGCTGGGGTATGTCAACACCGCAGGGCAGCAAACCCAACACAACGGTGTGCGTAGCTGCGGTTGGCGTACCTAATGTTATTGCCGTTTCGTACCGTTGTCAGAAGTGAAGAAAGGGAAGAGAAAAACAAAACCAAAACAAACCAAACACAATTTATAATGGACATTGTTAGCAGATAGAAATTGTTAGCAGATAAAGTGAAATTATAGAGGAATTCAAGGAATATTTCGGATCATAAAGTTCGTCTATACTGTGCATCTGGTTCCCCTTCGGCGTCCCGAACATAGAAGGAAATTATAATTTGGAACAGGCGTATAGGAAAGCTAGCGACGATTTGAACGGGAGAATTCGTGGTAAATAGAAGGAAGAGCTAGAACGAGGAAACGGTTGTGTAGCGCACAAAAGTAGAATTAGACCACTTCTTTTTGAGCTGCCACAAAAAAAGAGGCTGCTACAAAAATTTTGGTTTGGTATCCGAACAGAAGCGTTAATGGATATGCAATAAGAGCTTCTCCCGACCGTTCCAACAGCCATAAGTAGCTGACTAAGTTCGCCAGATTTGCTTGTATAGAGGTTGAGTAAAGGTTTCCTCATATTGTATAACATTTGAATACAGCTTGAGGCTGTATAAATGAAATGAGTAAAGCGTTTACATTGCGAAAATTGTTATTTGGGAGGACCAGAAAATACTAAATAAGTCATGATTCAATCACTGCTCAATAAATGGATTATTATTGGCCCAACTAGTGGCCAGCTGTTCATCTGCAAACAACCTTTTTTTCAGGCTGCTTGATTCCCTCAAGTCAGTGTAGGGATCAAAGCAAAACAGTATAGGCTAGACCTAACATACCTGTGGTAGAGAAGGGTTCCGAAAAATACATCCCAATTTCGCAGTTGCTATCCTGATTAAGTCATTTTGCTTAAATTGGGGTATGGAAAAGGGAAGAAGAAATTTACCGCGTTTTTCCCTTGGTGGTTAGAAAATCTACACTTCTCCGTTTCCACCAACAACAAGCCAATTAGGTAAATCTTCTCTCGTATAATAACCCGTGCCCATGATGAGGGTAATAAAAAGCACGTGTTTGTTTTGTGGGTTTGGTGAAAGTGTGCTCTCTTGTCTATTAGTACAAAAAGTAAGGTACACGAGCAGCTGAAAGTGGTGAAGGAAATACTTCCATTCCTGTGGTTTTCGTTAAGGATACATAGCTAAGCATTACGGTATAATTTGTGCTTTGTTCTAGGAATTTCGATCCTCGATCGAATTATTTTTGATAATTGAAAGTGACTAAAACATTTAATTTGTTTCAAATTTATATCGCAAAAACATATTTATTTGCTTTCAGTTTTCATAGCTGCTTCATTTCAACCACAATTATCAAAATATTTACACAAGCCGGAATCGTAAATGAGTACGCCCAATTAGCTGTTTCATTTGTATTTGAATGGCTTACGAATTAAACATGTGCAACAAATTTGCTGCTTTTGTTACACATAATAAGCCACGATTTAGTTCCCCATACAACACTTTTTGCCGTTAGCCAAAATGACCCCCCACCCTTCCTACCCCCACCAAAAAAAAAAACGCATAAACGAGTTTTGTGCGCACAGAATAGTCAATTAAATGTGAAATGTTAATTGATAAATTATTTATTTTTAATTAAACGGATAATTAAATTGTGCTTTCGAATCGAATTATTTGCACGTGCATTGCATCCTTGCGGCATGTTTGCCGTTCAGTCTGCTGTGGATCGTGGTTGAATTTTCTGTTGATCTACCAGCCCACGCGTGCCAAACTCGGACGGGCGACGGATCAAGCAGCAGCGGTCGTCCGGGTGTTGGTCAGATGGTCGGTGTCGGCGATGCCAATTGTTTCCCTCCTCGAGCCCCGATACCACAGCCAAGTGCTGGTGCAGCAGGCAGTGCAGTAGTGGTGGGCTGCAATGGAATTCCGGTGGTTTCCGATCGAGATGGAATATCGCTGCAGCACTTTGGTCAAGAGTCATTCTCCACATTCTGGTCGGCAGCGGTAAATAGTCACAACATATACCGATTGATGGATTTTCGGGTTTGGGACAAAATATTGACACACTTCCAGTGGCGAGCACTGGTCAATGGGCACTTTTCTTTCGCACCGATGAACAAGCTAGTTTAAAATTAATCCATGCAACTGATAAGCATTTTTAATGAATGAATGGTATGATTTGTGGTGAGGGTTGATTTCTTTCAAATTAACACTTTTTGACGGCTGCATTTGTTAAATATCCGCCGACATCATCCTGCACTGAACCTAAACGTCATCCTAAGTTCGAATGATTACTGCCTTACCCAAGCCCTATACCACTTATCAGATGATTTTGTAACCGTTTAGTTACAATGTCCTATGTTTTAATTTGTGCATGTTGTTTTAGGAAACAGTAGTGTTTGTTTAGTGTCAGTGTTGGGTTAGTAGGATTAGTAGGATTGTAGGTAAAATTGCTGTTATTGAAAAATGTATAAATTTGTCTTAGTAGGTAGTTTGAAAATGATATTTGTTTATAAGCTTAATTGGATGTGACAGGTTCGAAAGGGTGTTATAATCAACTGTGGTAGAAAAACTCAATAGGCGAAGGAGATGATATGGATGGGTGGTGATAAGCTACAAGGAAGGAAAATGGAGGAAATAATAAGGAACGAAACTGGATGGGAAAAGGAGGGCTTTTGATAGCTGGGATGGTCAAAATTTGCCCAGAAGTAAACCGGCGTTTGTGCCTAGAAGACGTGAGTGGAGTGCAAAAGTGAACCCAAGTGCAGAGAACGACCTTTTTATGTTCCTGGTCATTCAGGTAACTGAATTTGACCAAAAATGATTTTGGCTTGGTTTAAAACAACCATTTGTCCTTTATTTAGGACCTTTTTTTTGGTATTCCACGGAGATCCTCACGATCGGCACTTTTCGACCAAGTCAGTCTCGACTGTCTTGGTCTAAATGTCAAGGACCTTCAACTCTCCGGCTTAATAATTGCCACAAAGGAGAGCATCCTCGGACTCGGTACCGTGCGGGACCGAAATCCGTACACCTAAGCACAAGAGAATCATTAACGGTCAATACTAAATAATGCTATCACATTATGATCTGCATCACATCTTTTTCCTATACATATATCTTTATTTGACCATTATTTGCAAACACCAGGTCTTAAAATTACCTTTAATTATTAGAAAAAAGTATTTAAATTGCACATATCTTGAATCAAAATCCGTACAGCGTTCTACGATTGAATCAAAATCCGTACAATTTAGAATCGAAATCCGTACACTGTGTTGAGGATGAATCAAAATCCGTACAGTCATGAATCAAAATCCGTACATGAATGTGAATCGATCCAAATCAATGAAAAAAAAAACATGTTGCTATCTTGAATAAAGTATTTTTTGAGAAGTTGCTTGGCTAGGAGTCCAAAACAGCTATACTCGTTTAAATACCCTAGTTTACAGCATATTTGAACTTTGTACGCTGATGATCATTTCCAATGTAACATCGTGCGCTGAATCCAAAAATATTGCCAAAAAAATCTCAGTAGGATAGTTTTGGAGATATAGGGGAAACAGCCCTATTAATGCGTTACGTTAGCATCGTTAGAAGCCTATTGTTGTGTATGGAGGTCTCCATATACAATAATAGGCTTCTAAAGCGCTGGCCATACTGAGCAGTTAAAACATGTTAAAACGGTTTTCAAATAATTGCAACACAGAAACAACCATCAAGATAGTGCTATATCATGTTATAACTTTGTAGTCTGAACGTACTATAACGCTGCTAACGTATCGCAACAATAGGGCTGTTTCCACTAGCTAAAAAATGAAATCTCACTTAAAAAAAAACGTGTTTACTAAAACTCAAATATCTCCGGCTGTAATGAAGTAATATTAATTATTTTAACGCCAAATTAAACGTGCTAAATTTGATTTCGATCGTTATAACATTATTTTTCCGTGAGAGTAATGGTAGAACCACTATAAGCATGTTTATTTACATTGCTTAAAAACTTAGCAGAAATTCAATTTTTCTTAGGAAAACTTAAAACAAACAAACTATTAACTAACAACAATACCACTAATCTCACTGACAATTGATGTTGAATTGATCGAACGAAAAATTTCTTACCTCGAATTTAGCGTTAAAATAATTGATATATTCTCATTACAACGGGAGAAATTTGGATTATAGAAAACAAACTTTTTTAAAGTGAATTTTCATTTTTTAGCTGTATCTCGAAAACTATCCTA